GTGTACAAGCCAATGACACCTGCAGCTTTCAGCCCTACAGACCAAGAACATATCCCCCAGTCGCCGCCGCTTGACTACTACCCGACGCTGGAGTTGGCGTCGGCTCAAACTCAGGCTCAGGAGCAGGAGGTAATGGATCATTCATAGCCAATTTAATCCTCCAATTGATAAACTCATCTGAGATGATATCCCCATGACCAGCTTCTTCGATCCTGAAAACCTCAATCTCAGGAGATCTCTCTTTCCTCCGAATGCGCCAAACTCCGTCTCCCTTGATCGTAGCCCTCAGAACTAACTCACATTAGCATTGACATCAAGATTGATACACATTACCTTCAATCCGACCCGATCCGATCCAGAAAACAGGGAGAACAAAACTTACAATCAAGTAACTCTGATGCAAAATTAATACACATATTTCCATCCCAGGTACCCTTCCCTCTTCTCTTCACCGTACTAGGTATCGAAGCGGTATCCATCTCCTCGACCCTCTTCAGGAAACCGTCTTGTGTACGGAAGCCAACTATGATTTTAGGCACGCCGAGGAGGAAAGATTGGATCCAGAATTTCATGAGTTTGCGCTCGAGGTTCATGAGATCTCCATCGTGTCGGATCTCGGCTGAGGTCTTAAGTTCTACCCATTTGATGGGTCCGCCATCTGTGGGTTTGGAATCCCATACTAGCTAGTATTAGTTGGTGTGTTTTGGAGTTGGACGTGCTGTGTATATTGGGTATGAGGGCTGGTACGTACATGCATCGACTTCCCCTCCAAGCACCATCACCGTACGACCAATTCCGGTCTTGACCACAGAGCAGTACTGTGCGTGGTTATTCACAATCTCGTTCTCCCTGTTCTCAATGTAATCTCTCGGCGTCTCATCCCACGGCTGTGGCAGCAAACATAACGTCTCGAATTTATATCCTTCACAAATCAGCAAGGCACAAACATAATCCGAACCACCTACTCACCCCAAAAACTCATCATATCTTGTGACGGTCTTCCTGGTTGTGAAAACTGTCTCGATTGCCTCACTTGCGATTGTCGTTTGTACTCATGATTCTCTTCGATGAAGCTACATAGATTAGTACGGAATCGTAGGCAGATAGAAATTCAGAAGCATACATTGTCCCCTTCACAGATACTGGTTAGCTGAAATCCGTAGATTGGGTCAAGGAGTGCCCACTTGGAAGAGCGTGGCGTTCATCTCGAAACTTCAGACAAGTCAGCTTTGAACATTTCGCCAGACTTGACTGGGCATTACCCATCTCTATCACTGAAGATAGCTCCCATGAACTATGCACAATCAGCTTGAATACACTCTCACGGGGATTCTCTGGTAGATATACCTTCGTCATCATCCCCCTCCACGTGATAAGATCCGTCTCAACACGTTTACCTGTCTCTTTCTCCAACGCCATAATAGTCTTCAACAGACTATCAAGATGATCATCCGCCGCATCGTCAAGCTTCTCAAAGGTATCGAAGCCCCTTGATAGATCGGCTCCGATGGTTGGAGGATAATAGTATCTGATAGATGAGTCGTCTAAGCGGAACTGATGTTTATCATCGTATGAGAAACTGGCTATTTCCTAGAGAGTTGTCAGTAACGTTCACATATCTCAAGGGATCAGGGAAGATATCAAGGGCGTCCTCCAACTTCAAGCCAATGCGCGGGGAGGAAAGAAGAAAGTTACACTCCCCAAAACCAACCCACGAATATGAAATAGAAAGATGAGCAATACTATCCCCTCATGACAAAATACCGTACAAACTCCCTAGATCCTCACGCCCAACACGCAATGTAAACAGTAAACATACCTTGGGACGTTTAATAGCAGCACTCTGCCCCACGAACCTGCCAATAGGCTGGATATCAAATTTATTACTCATGATTGACGACCTTGCAGTAGACCATGATGAACGCGTCGATGTTGCAGCAGCCCTTTTAAGAATCGCCGTCATGCGGAGGAGGATGAGGAATGTTTGATGACAGCTAACTTGAGCTTGAGCTTGATGCAGGCAGGGGCTTGGCTTTTGCTTCAGCGCTCATGCACCCCACAATCCCCTAGCGAAAATGAACCTGGGCAGCAGGGACCTTTTCGATGTCAGACTTCGCAACTTGCAAAAATTACAAATCGAAGTTGAAATACAATTTTGTGTAGAGATTTAAGCATATTAAATTGTTCGTAGTTTCTGATATTAACATTATAGAAGCACTGTTATGTGCCTCAAACACATAAAAGGAAAGTACTTGAAATAGCATTTCCTGGCGGCTCCTGAAACCCCCACCACCCATAGCCTCGCCCCAAAGCCTCGCCAACGAACAGCAACATCACCAACACCAACACCAAAGGACAAGCAACCCAACCCAACCTACAAACCCAACCACCAAGCATTCCTTACCCATTCCTTACCCAAATCCTCCTCCAATCCATCCCTACAACCAACCAACAGAATCAACATCCCCCAAAAATGCCAGAACGCCGACAAGCAACCTCCAGCAGCTCCACGCACCGCAGCACCACCGCGAGCGGCGTCCGCCGCAACCTCTTCCAACAACACCTCACGCGGCGCCCAACAACCAGCTCGACATCCACATCCGCCGAAACCCTCCGCCTCGATGTCGACCACGAATCCGACTCCTCCGACATCGTCATCCGGGACAAGAACGGCGACTTCGAGATCGAGGATCTGCCTATCCAGCCATACGATGAGCAGGACGAGGGAGGAGGTAACGGAGAGGCGCACGAGGATGAGAGTAAGTGGATATCTTTTCAGATATAAGTATACTGTTCTGGTATGTTGTGGGAAATGGGAGTTGTGCTGATTAGTGTCTTGGTGTGTTATAGAGGAACGCCAGAGATTGGCTGATGCTGTGAGGCATCATCAGAGAGATAGGAATCGTGCTCCTAGTGAACCTGCTGGTTAGCATATACCCCCTTCCTCCCTCTTTTTCACAATGAGATGGTACAATTCTGATTATAATAGAATTACTCGAAGCTGTAAAGGCTAGTCTCAGAGCGAAAGTCAATGCTTTGGCGGAGGACAATTGGATGTACGAGGCAGAAGAGAATGCTTCTATTCGGTGATATAACCTACAACTACAACAAACGGTCTCTTTGGTTTTCGGCATTGCATTGCATAGCGTGGCATGGGATGGAAAAGGCGTTAGATACCCAAGCACTCGTTGCTTCAGGCAGGCACTGGATAGATACTTGCTTCGAGCTCACGCTCAGCAATGAGCTGTTCTGTTTACACAAATACACGAATTTGAAAAATTCGCTCTATTGATTGATTCAGTTTAATCTAGACCTTCAGCAGCAGGTGCAGAAGCGCCACCAACACGCTTTGGCTGCGGCTTAGCAGGAGCAGCAGCACCTCCACCCCCAAACATACTCCCCATCATATCCAACAGCGGGTTCCCTTGTCTGGGTCTAGAGATACCAAAATACATCTCAGCGACCGAAGTCAGCGCCTCATCCCAGATACCCACCTCCTTGATATAAACCGCATACTTCGACCTCAGCTGCGTGAACAGGCCCGCACTCCCCTTCTGCACAGCCAGCAGCAACAGGCCCAGGAAGTTCAGCAGCGGCAAGCTGGGATAGATCCGCATGTCAGAGGAGCTGCTACTAACATCCTGCACCGCGAGACCCTTATTCGCCTCCGTCAACCTACTCGTGAACAACCGTAGGGATTTCGTGGCATCGCGAACATTGCCTATGAGGAGGTAGGGGAATACCACGCGCGCTGCGTATATAGCCGCCGTGTGGGAATCGTCCTGCGTGTACCACTCGTACTCCATCTTCGCGAAGACTTCTGGGGAGTCCTTGGTTCCGAGTGTGAGGTGTCGTTCGGCTTCGTAGGCTTCGTGTTCTTCTGCGTAAAGAGAGCCCGCGACGTGATGTAGTTCAGGTTCGCCGGCTGGGTACTCGCCACACTTTGCAGACCATCTATTCGTCACATCCCATCAGTTTAACTCTCCCCCTCCCCTCCTCTTTCTGTATGTATGAATATTAAAATCACTCACCCAATCATCTCCCCAATAAACTTCTTCCTCGTCGGCTCCTCACAATCAAACAACCGCAGCAGCGTCAACAGCTTCCCCTTACTCCCTGAATCCGGCTTGAGCTCCGCCTGCTTATACACATCGATGAGGAACAGCCCCAAGTCTCCACCGCTGCCTCCCTGCCCGGCCTTCAGGAGCGACTGCGATACGTTGAAGAGGATATCGATTGCGGCATCCCAGCTCTCAGACTTGACGTATCGTGCTGCCACGACCCGTGTTTGCTGCTGCGCTTCATAGTATTGGCCTTCGGTGATTCTGGAGGGGGGGTTTGTTAGCTCTGCTTGCTTGCTTGTTTGCTCACTGGTGCCGGGGGGGGGGGGGTTGTAGTAGAGAGAGGTACGTACTTTCCCTGCAGACGCACGATGATCTTCTCGATTTTAGAACCCATCTTGACTTGAGTTGCTTCGTCTCGCGCCGGGAAGTTGGAGTTGCAGTTGTGTGGAAGCGCTGTTTAGCCCCAAAATCAACGCTTCCCACTGTATTTTTGAGGGGTTCAAGAACCTTACACTCGCTGCTTTTACATGTCAACGCTTCCACACCTCAGCAATTCGTGAGATTTTGACGAGGCTGCGGGCGGGGACCCGCTCCGGGAAGGTGCACTGCGTCACAAAGGACGTCCAGACAAAGACAGCAAAATTATGAATTAAATACAATACTTAGGTATGAAGGTATCTGTTCTACTCTAGCTTAAAAACTCACAACAATTCATAACTTCTCACAACTCTCATAGTTAATATTTACTTTGCACAAGTACGGATTTTCAAATAGGTATGTTCGCTTGTCTTGGTCTAGCCCTCTGCCCAACGCCAACGCCAACGCCAACGACAACCCCGCTCCAAAGCCCGACATCGCACCAATCTCATAATACCTAAATATGCTCAGATAAGAGAAATTTCACATGAATTATCCCATTTCATTGGATGATTCCAAGCACTCTTGGTTTAGTGGTAAAATCAACGCTTCCCATTCTCATAAGTGAGACTCGATTGCGTTGGCCCCGGGTTCGATTCCCGGAGGGTGCATTCGAATGATCGAAAGGTTTTGTTTTATCACTTTGGACGATGGGAAATGTAAAACCTGCGACTCTGGTAATTTTTGGCATTTTTTACGATGTGTCCTCGGTTGTTTTTAATAGTAGTTAGCATCTAAGTAGTACTCGCTTTCTCCGTGGGACTGAACCTATTGGGGTAGGAATACAGGACCATATTCAACCAAAAGTCCCTGGAAAACCCACTATGGATGGGTTCAGTCCCATGGAGAAAGCGAGTATCTATGAAGCGAATAAGACGCTTAAGATTACTGATTTGTGTCACCACTTACTGTACAGTACCCAATTTAAAAGTTTTCTTTGATATGATAGAAGATGGCAAGCATGAAGACTGGGACAGACTGATCACTAATTATTCTTAACATCGGTTCTTCCAATTAATAGCCCATGAGAAGAGCATTCTGGCAGGTTATTCATTACCCACCCAACGTTGAGTTTAGATTGAGTGCATGTTTCTGTACTGTAAAGCCTGGGTTCTATATAGTCCTGCTAGAGCATGGTGAACACGCATCAAGGTCTCCCCTGCGGCCTTCACTCCAGCTTGGAATGCAAAATCAAGGTGCTTTAAAGACGCACGGGCACGAACTCCTAATTTGTATCATCAGTACTGCTCTTTAAAAACGAAATATCTACTAACCTGTAGACATTTCTTCTCTATCAATCAAGAGCATCTCGTCTAGATCCTCCTGGATCTCTACTAGCTTATACCAGATGGCAGAACCAAAAAGAAAAGCTGCCGTGGGATCACCTTGCTCAGCAAGAGCCTGCAAGTCTCCAGCCTCTTCGTCAGTCAGCTTTTGTCCAGTTGACGATCGTCCCGTTCTCTTATCAATGGTTTCCAGGAGGTCAGATGCGCGAATCTTGATCCGCTCGTTGATCTTTGGGGGAATCTCGATTCCAGTGGCTGCACAGGTCAGTATGTCGAACAACGAGTGCGCGACACCAGCAGCTGATGGCCGAACGGTGGGACGGGCATTGCAGCAGCTTTGCACCACTCTCAGGACCTCTTGGTACGAAGGATTATCGTATTTCTCGTTTTTATTCCAAGGCATTTCCCCACGCGATATGAGGGCATGAACGCGTTCTGCTTCCGGCCCTTCAAAAACCTCGTCTGAGGAGTCGAAAGGAAACGTCCCGGAGACGCACTGCCAGACCAAAATTCCCAAGCTGTAATTTCTCAGCAAGCCAGATTTGATGTTTAAGGTTAGGCTGTCCCATACCTCCATATGTCGGTGTAGATGCTGTGTTGTTGATGAGGTAGCTTCTGGAATTCGGGAGCCTCGAACCGAACATCGTAAGCCCCTCCGCTTGTATTTTCCATGAACTGGAAGACCTGTCAGAATTTGCTGCGATCATCAAGATCAAACTACTAGAGAGGAGAGACTTACCAGTCGGGCTCTGTCTAAATCTGTCAAGTAAGGGATGACTACATTGTTTTCGCGTAACAAAAGGATTGTTGTATCAGACAAACGCTTGACCAGAATCTCGACGCTATGGAGATATTCCATGGTCCGGGCAATGTCACAGGCGATACTTACCCTCTCCAACACAGATTTTGGCACCTTGCCATCTCGCATAATATCCCGCAAACTTGGACACTGTCGCAAGTCTTTCATCACGATCCACCGTTGATTGGATCTCTGGGCGATGCCGTAAAAGGGATGCACTAGAGTATTCGCTGAGAGCTTGGCATAGATGAGAACATGCCGCGGTCCTTTCTCGCCATACTTCATCAAGTCCTCTTTCACCGGCTCGCAAACGACTTTGGTGATTCTAGAGTCAGCATCCGCGAGCGAGCCTGACAACAGCTTGTCGCTCTCCTTCGTGACCTGAAGCCGCAAGTCTTGTTCAGGAAAGTCGACTCTGAGTTGCGGCGCCTTTTCTTCATCTTGATTCTTCTTCAGTTCATCAAGGATTTGCAGCTTCTCGAGGATGGTTTCCATGTCCCTCTGCTGTTGGGCCCGAGAGGCGTTCGTTTTCGTATCGAGTTTCGACAAAGCAGTTCTCGTTGATACCTCAAGAAATAAGAGCTATAAATCTGCGACAGGAAGGCTACCACTTACTGATGTTCCAGTGTTCAGTAACACCACCCATGCCATCATGTCCTTCACCAAACCTGGTAATTTGTGCTTCCACATCACTTCCCAGGCTCGATTGACTAGGTTCGATCCACTGCATTCGGCTGTGAATTTTAGTACCTCCAGGAGTATGCTATTGAGCTGTGTAGCAGTCTGTTCATCCTTCAAGACCTCGTCGTTTGCCACTAGAAGCCCCTGCAATATGGAAGAGATTGTTCTGACTTCCTCACATTCGGCTTTCAATCTCCTCACTTGTTGGGTGGTGCGAATTATCTGTATCAAAAGCTGAATGCTTGTCACACCACTGCTGAAGGCCGCGAGGGCGAGGTCTGGGGTTGGCATCATGAAGAAAGTGTCGCCGAAATGAACTTGAAGCTTTCGAAAGAAGTTCGCAGCGTCAGAAAACGACGAAAATCATGACATGCAAGCCATCGGAAGAGCTGAAGAACCTGGCTATCCCTGCACCAGCTCGAATATCTTTGGCTCCCCGGAGTGGTTGGTAGGAAAGCCACGTACACGTGTACTTTGTGTAACTACGCCATCTGAAAACTTTGGTTTCTTTTGGATCTCCCGACAACTACGTTTGTTTCAATCCCCTTCTTTACCATTTTAACTAAGGAGCAAAAAGAGAAATAATCACTGAAAGGGGAATCACAATGGATAGACTTTGCTACTACGTTCCACTACAACCATTTGAGCGGAAACTAGCCTCGGAACTCGCTCACACACTCAATCAGGAGGAGTTCGGGGCATCAATCGGAGAGAATCCACCTTTCACTAAGGTGTTCATGGCTTGGAAATGGGCATCCATGGTGAAGAATTGTTTGGAAGATGATCTAAGGGAGGAGCAGCTGAAAGAAGAATACGGTGGAGACAAAAGTAAAGCATATGATTCATTTATCCACTTCCTGGCCCACACGGGTGGAAATCGTCAGAATCTGGCTCGCGCGGAAGACATCAGAAGTGCTAATAAAGATTTCTTGGACAAACTTGGGGATAGAGGGATCTCTGAGGTCGAGGTCGTCCCTGTTGATGAAGACGTGGAGGCCTGGAAGACGCTTTCCAAAATCTACCACACCTTTGGTCGGCACTGGGAGCACAAGGACCCGCTTGCAAACCCAAGAGGCTCTTTTGACGTGTGGCAGCTGATCCGGAAATTCGTTCTCCATTGGAATTCACCGGAGAATAAAGTCCTTATCGATCATTCTTTGGTGTGCAGTCCCATTTTTGCCTCCTTATACAATACTGTACGACGCCCTCTGGTTAGTGGAACTGGCTCGGAAGATCACAACGTTCAAGAGATGAGTGATGGTGTCGAGAAATTGGAAATTCAGAAGAGACCAAAGGAGACGAAAGATGTGAGTATTATTAGTCATGGAGGATGTGCATATTCCGATCAGAAGTAAATTCTGATAAAGTCAGTGGCCTGAAGCAAACGTGAAGACTGATGAAGATGGAAGGATTTCTGACGCCTATTTGGTGAGTAAAGCACATCCAAAGTAGCAAGGCTAATAATAGTGCTGCTGTAGAAATTCATCTTGCGTAGCATTGGCCAAGCTCCTCAAATTGAAGATCCTAGATTGTACCTCCATTTCATTCCATGGTCTGATCTGACCAGCGTATCTGCGGAGTTTCTTCGACAATCAGGCTTTGATCTCGAGGTGCCATCCTTGCAAGGAGATAGCATTAAGGAATGGACTCTGTGGAAGCCACCTAAACCTGGGTTTTCCTGGAACCATCACTTCCACACAGAAGATGAAGTGTTCGAGTACAATATCCTGATGAACTGGCCCTTCCCAGGCCACTATTTTAAGAGCCAAATACTCTTCGCCATAAAGGAGATAGAAGAAACGAGTTTCGTTTCTGACCTCCGGGAATTCTGGGATTCCTGGGTAAGTTTTTGGAGGACTGGACTAGAAATCCTGAGTCTGAATGCAAAGGCTAATTAAGTATCCATCTCCACAGAATGATTGCGCAGTCACACAGCGCAGCGATAACGAGCCTCTCCTGCTCCTGGAAACTTTGCCGGGGTTACGGTACCGCAATCGTGAACTAAATCAAGACAAAGCTGCTGCACTGTCTTACTTTCGTAATTTAGTAGAGGCACATGCAACAAACAGTCTCGACGTGGCGACCGTCCGAGAAGTCATAGGCCTCGAGACCGGCTACACTCCATTGTTTGAACATTCATTACGCATAATTCCAGAAGAACAGCTGAGAGACGTCCAGTTCAACAAACCTATAGGAGTAGGGAAAAATGGTGCGGTTTACGGCGCAAAGTGGAGGAGACCTCCTGGGCATCTCGCTACGACGAAAGGGGAGGAGAAAGAAATCGATATTGTCTTGAAAGAAGTCTTCCCACGAGCTGGGACTTCTGAAGATCCCCTGAAGAAATTGTTAAAGGAGGTGAGAAATTCCAAGAGATCCCTATTACGTTTGCTGATGTTTAAAGCTGGATGCAACTTACGCAAGCTTAGGGGGTTCTGCGGTTGGATGTGTTCAATTTCTTGGTCTTTCCATCGTTCTGGATTGGAGATTACCGAAGCAAATGGATGAAGAACTTAAAGGTAGGCAGGAACAGCTGGAGACAAGAAAGTTGCTTCTGGTCTTCGAGCGAGCTACACAAGGGGATGTGTTAGAATTTCTCTCCAGGCAGCTCGCTTATTCGACATTTGTTGGTGGCTGGAATGAGATCGCAAATGCACTATCCTCAATTGCTAACGGTATCAACTCCCTCCATGAACATGGAGTTATTCATCGGTAAGTTCTTAAGTTTATATTAAAACTGAACTTGAAATGGCACGAATGCGAAGTGTACTGAAATCTGGCAGGGACCTTCATATGCAGAACATTCTTGTTACGGATCGCTATTACCCGCACGATCCACATAATCCCC